AAAGACACCACTAAAAAAAATGTACAGGCCAATATTCCTGATGGACATGGATGCAAAAATTCTCAACAAAATACTAGCAAGATGAATTCAACAGTACATTAAAAAGATCATTCACCACAATCAAGTAAGACTTATTCGTGGATTGTAGGTAGGTTCAATATTTGCTAATCAATCAACATGATACATCACATCACTAAAAGAAAGGAGAAGAACCGTATGATCATATGATCATCAATACATGGGAAAAAAAGCATTTGACAAAGTACAACATCCATTCCTGATACAAACCCTCAACAAAGTAGGTTTAGAAGGAACTTACTTCAGTATAATAAAGGCCATATATGAAAAACCCACAGCTAGTATCATCCTCAATGGAGAAAAACTGAGAGCCTTTCACTAAGGTCAGGAACCAGACAAGGATATCCACTCTCACCACTTTTATTCAACAAAGTACTGGAAGTCCTAGTCACAGCTATCAGACAATAAGAAATAAAAGGCATCTAAATCAGTAAGAGAGAAGAAAACTTGCACTATTTGCAGATGACATGATACTATATATAGGAAACCTGGAAGACTCTACCAAAAACCTACTAGAACTGATATACAAATTCAGTAAATTTGCAGGATATGAAATCAAAGTACAGAAATCTATTGCATTTCTATACACCAATAATGAAGCTGTAAGAATTCATACAACTCAGTGGCAAAAAAAAAAAATCAGATTAAAAAATATATACCAAGGGGAAAAGAGTTTCCTCAAAAAATTAAACATAGAAATATCATATGAGCCACCAATTCCACTCCTGGGTATTTATCCAAAGAAAACAAAAACACTAATTCAAAAAGATGTATGTGTCCCTATGTTTATTGAAGCATTATTTATGGTAGCCATGATATGGAAGCAATCTAATGTTCATCAATAGATAAATGGACAAAGAAAATGTAGTGTACATATACACAACAGACTATTATTAACCCATAAATAAGAGTGAAGTCTTGCCATCTGTGACAACATGGATGGACCTAAAGAGTATTATGCTAAGTAAACTAAGACAGAGAAAGACAATTACCATATAATTTCACTTACATGTGGAATATTATAAAAAAAAAACATAAACAGAGTCATAAATACAGAGAACAAATTGGTGGTTGCCAAAGGAGAAGGGTTGGGAGGGATGAGTAAAATAGGTGAAGAAGATTAAGAGGTACAAACTTCCAGCACAAAATAAGTAACTGGGATGTAAAGTACAGCATAGGGAATATAGCCAATAACATTGTAATAACTATGTATGGTAACAGATGGTAACTAGATTTGTCATGTTGATCATTTCATAATGTTTAAAAATATCTAATCACTACATTGTGTACCTGAAACTAATACTGTATGTCAACTCTACCTTAATTTTTAGAATACTATAAAAAAATAAAAGAATATTTCTGGGAGGGAAGGAACAGAGGAAGAGGGAGAAAAAGAATCTTAAGCAGGCTCCACATCCAATGCAGAGAGCCCAATGCAGGGCTTGATCTCACAACCCCGAGATCAGGGCCAAAGCTGAACTCAAAAGTCGGATGCTCAACTGACTGAGCCACCTAGGTGCCCCAAAACAAAAGAATATTGATATCTTGTCCAAATACAAACTATATTTTTCTCATCTATGTTCATATTGAAGCATAGATGTAAATATAAAGTTTGACATATTCCATTCAGTCTATAAACTTTGACCCAAGAAAATGAAAAGATCTTATCTGCTAAGTATACATACATCTTGTACACAATACCGCTTAAAATAAAAAAAAGGAGCATGATTTCTTACCTGGGCTATTGAAGCTTTCATAATGAAGTTTTGTCCACTTTTAAGTTCTCTCAAAATATATAAAAGCACCTAATGAGACTTTTTTACTGTACTGAAATGGAAGGAATACTCTCCATAAAACATGTGCCTTACATGATGCTTATTATTGTTACTGGCCATAGAAAAGGTGTTAAAAACGTTGGCCTGCTGTAAACTTGCTTTCAAAATGCAGGACAAGGAAAATGTCCTTTAATTTGTAAATATACTGAGGATGAGAATGGCGAAAGGATTACAGTAAAACAGAGATGTATATGCTGTCTCTCTAAAACTGCTTGGTAATCTTTGAAGAGGCCATATGGAGACTTGAAAAGAACTAACTGCGTCTAAGCTGCCTGATGTTATGTGTAGGCTACAACAAAAACTCATACAGGAAAAAAAAAAAGACTCAGTTTTTGGAAATAAGACTACTTCAGAACAACAAAAAAACTCGCCAGAAAGGCACCCAAGTTAAACAGGACTCTCATTTCATTACTAAAATTTTAGCTTACTTGGAATCTAACTTCAATTTCATAAGTTGAAATTACCTCTGTGCTTTAAAACCTTTTTCCCTGAGGGGGTTAAAAAAAAGGTTTAATTTATGATGACATCTAATGTGCTTTGGAATGTTAAAAAGTGGTGAACATATTAGTCATGGACAGCCCATAGGATGAATGTATAGATGCAAAGGGCCTAACTGACTGACAAATAGCTGGTCTACCAAGACCAGCCTCTAGTACTAAGTGAATAAACATTTCTGGAGAACTGAAAACTAACTCCTACATATGTAAAAACCTGCTATTCCTATAAGTACTACTGAGGAATATTACATTCTCAAACACTTTTTTTTGAAAGGTCGTTTAGGTTTATGGCACCACCACATCGCTTCTCGGCCTTTTGGCTAAGATCAAGTGTAGGTTTATGGCACCACACTGGACTGACACCAAGAATCAGTCTAATGTAGGCTCAATAAGACCAGAGATGCATATCAAAGTGAATATCATGTTAGACTATATGCAGTTTTACCACTACATAAAAGAAAACAAGGATGTCCTAATGGCTGCAGGCAGTTCAGAGAAATATTATTGGAAAAGAAACAGAAAGAGTAAAAATATCCTACTGTACCATGGAGTCAAAAAAACCATTTTGTTGTTATTTTTCACTAAATATGGGCTACAGATATGTCTAAATCATCATACATATTGTGTTTACATTCCCCTTTTTAAAAGTCTTACATTTATGTATACTAAGAATATACACTACAACTTATAAAATTTAAATATTCAAGAACTAAATTGCTGTAATGGGATAGAAATGTACAAAGTACTTAGTCCTACTATTCATACTAATTGTTTAACTGTTAACTAGTCCTACTGTTTTGTTTAAATAATAGCATGTAACAGAAAAATAATACAGAGAAACATAATTTTAAGTAACATTTATTTTCGTATTTTTATTTAAAGTAATACTTCTGCACAATTACTTATTACATATTATAGGTCTTTTCATCTAGTATAGCTGTGTCCTTTGTTGGCGTTCTAAAGGTTGGTCACCCCAACAGTGTAGTACCATTTGGATGGGGGAACAAAATATAAAAAAGGTGATATTTGTAAATTACATAGACAAGATACTGGTAAACTGTGGTGCCTTCTATGAAAGATAAATTAGTGGGTGGAATAAGCCAGAGGGGGTTTCTTTTTATTTTCTACATGTATTTTTTAGAACTTTGTACCTTGTGCATGCACTACCTAGTCCAAAGGGAGAAAATCATTATTAGTCTTACACAGTAATTGCTCAAAGTGAGCTGAGAAAGGTGTTTACAGGAAGGTTCAGGGTTCAGGGTTCCCAAGAGAAACAGTGTGTTAAAGAACACGTGGTTCTTGGGGCTGCTGCCCAAAATTCAAGATGGCTGCCTGGTGGATGACTGATTCAGATAACCCTGATGAGGTAAGCTGGTGCCCAAAACTGAAAGGTCTGCTAACCCCCTGAAATCAGTACAAATTTGTTTTGTGAAGGAAGCCATTAGAAGGTTTTAAAGAAAGGAATATAATTATGTGATTTACGACTAAGAGATCCCTTTGGTTGTGTGAAGAATGTAGGGTAGCCCTATTACGAGGACCTATTTCTATAGACTTGCGTGAGTATGGCTGTTGGTTTGGACTGTTCGCATGGTAGCACTGAATGAGGATGTGGAGGCACAGACTGACATGGCGTGACTTTGGGAGGTGGCGCTGATTAGACCTGCTATAGAATGAGTGTGGATTGCGGGGAGGGGGTCTGCATAACATGGATAACTGCTGTTTCTGGTCTGGGTAGCTCAGAGTGCCTCTTCCTGGGACGGAGAACACTAGGGCATTGTTGGATTGTGGAGGAATAAGAAAGCATACTTTAAGGGACACTTTAAGCCAGAGATGCTTAACTGATGTACTTTTTTTTTTTTTTTTTTTTTTTGAAGTCACTCAGGTTATTGTGTGGAGACTGGGGAGAGGAGGGCATCTGTGAGGCAAAGTGACAGCCCTTGGAGGGCCTCAGCAGGGACAGAAAGGAAACTACTCAGGGCCAAGGGACAAGGCTGGAGAGGCTCTAGCAGAGAATCTTGCAGGCCCACAAAGGCTTTAAGCTTTTCATCAGTATGAAATGGGAGACAATAGCAGGGCTTCGAGTATAATGAGAGCTGACCAAAGGCCTGCTGTGTGGAGAGCAGGCTATACGGTAGAGTTGCCAGATTACTCAAGAAAAATACAGAATGCCAAGTTAAACTTAAATGTGAGATCAACCACAAATAATTTTGTAGGTAAGTATAGCCCATGTAATACTGGAGATAGACTTTAGCTAAAAATGTATTCGTCGTGGATCTGACAAATTTAACTGGGTGTGTCCCCCCCCCCAACCCTATCACAGGGGCAGGTGGAGGGAGCCCCTGCGGGCATTGCAGGGAAATGGAAAGGGCCAGAGTAGCAGCAGCGAAGGTGTGAGGAGGGGGTCCCAGAAAAGACAAAGGTGACCCATTTGGTACACTTTCCCGGAGAACTGCTCTAGAAAAATGAGCTTCTTGGCTGTTCCAAGTGTTGGCCGAGGGTTCCTCAGGGAAGACTCACCTGTCTATTCCAATCCTCCTGAGCCCGCGCTCCACCCATAGCCCTGCTACCCTCAAACTCCACCCAGTTGAGTAGCAGCTTAAAAGTAGCAGCCCGCCGGCCCGGTGCTGTAACCCCGCCTTCCACACCCCGCAGGGGTGGAGCCTGAGCGAGAAGCCGGCGAGAAGCCCTCTCTCCCCGGATGACGAGGGGCAGGATAACATGGAGTCCGGCAAGATGGCGCCTCCTAAGAACGCTCCGAGAGATGCCTTGGTAAGTGCGAAGGATGAGAGGCGGGCAGGATAGGCACGGCTAGGGTCTCGGGAGGCAGGCCCTGGCGGAGGGCTTCAGGACGGGCTCGCGCGCCCGCTTCAGCCCAATTGGGGCGACCAGGAGGAGTGGGACACGGGGGTGCCCTGGACCCCAGGGCACTTCTCTCGCAACCCCGGCAGACCCGCTTAGGGGGTGGCTTAAGGCCCGCCGGAGTGCTTAGTCCAGCCACCCAGCTTTGTCTCCTGGGCCTTGGGCCCCAGACGCTTTGTCGTCTCGCCAGGTCTGTGAGTCCTGACCCTCGCGTCCAATATCTGCTGCGAGCTTCCCCCATTGCCGCATCGGAAAATGACAACCAGCTGTAGCCTCCCCTCTCTTTTCTTGGGGAAAGCCAACCCGAATCTTTTTGTTCTCTCTGCCCCCACCCCCCCACCCCCACCCCCACCCCCACCCCCGCCAAAACATAAAGTTTTCAGCAGAGGTTAGGATGGCTTTTGGTGTGACCCTGACACTGGAGAGGAAAAGTATGTAGCCCAGAGAAGGGGGAACTTTTATCATAAATACTACCTTTGGTCCAGTCTTGATTTCCAGTACCTAGATTATGCATCTGGCATTTTTATTCGAATCCACAGGTGATGGCACAAATCCTGAAGGATATGGGAATTACGGAGTATGAACCAAGGGTTATAAATCAAATGTTGGAATTTGCTTTCCGTAAGTTAACAAAACAAAAATTTGCCTAACTTGTGAATTTGAAAACACTGTTTTATCTTAAGAACATTTTCAACTAAATTGCTTGAACAGTATCACAGAATGCAGCCTAAAGCAGTAAGAGAGCTCAAGCTAAGGGGACAATAGTATTTATACCGTGCTATCTGTTTAAAATTGGCCATGTAAAATAGGACAATTAGATACTAGAAGCAAAATTCATAAACTTTCTAGAAGTTAGTAGAACCTCCCGTTAAGAAAAGTGACCTTAAATATTAAGCGGTTTTAATGCTTCATAATGTTTTGTTCTTAAAGGATATGTGACTACAATTCTGGATGATGCAAAAATTTATTCAAGTCATGCTAAGAAACCTAATGTTGATGCAGATGATGTGAGACTGGCAATCCAGTGTCGGGCTGATCAGTCTTTTACTTCTCCTCCTCCGAGAGATGTGAGCAAACTTATTTGAAGTTCATTTTACATAAAATTTCTTACATTGTAGTTCTAATAAGGACTTTTTTTTTTTTTAGTTTTTACTCGATATTGCAAGGCAGAAAAATCAAACCCCTTTACCACTGATTAAGCCATATGCAGGACCCAGACTGCCACCTGACAGATACTGCTTAACAGCTCCAAACTACAGGCTGAAGTCCTTAATTAAAAAGGTAAGAATTTCTGGTCAGCTCAGTTTTTTTAAAAGGTGAGATGTGTTAGGGGAATTTGTAAAATGCATAGTCCTGTAGATGGATTAGTAGGTTAAAGACTAAGATGATTTACTAGGATTTTTTACACGTATAGCCTTGAAAATACCATGTCTGCAATTAGCTACTTCGTTAAAATATAAGGTGCAAGATTTTTAGAGCAAAAAGGAACTTTAGTGTTCATCTAACTCAACAATTAATTTCCCCATCAGGGAACTAATCCTCAGTTCACCTATGGAATTAGTGGCAAATCTGGTACTGATTCCCAGGCCTCGTTAACTTCCAGTATTTACGTTGCGTGCCTATAGGAGTAACATTGTTAACATTACGTTACGAAGAAAAATATTAATAAAAAAGTGCTTCATTGATCGAAAAAGGCTAAGAGCTGCAAGCAAGCATTTATTCACACTGTAAATCAGACCCAAGAAACCCGTATCATAACCTCTTGGCACCTGTCACTAGGAACTGCACAATCTTACGTTAACTCCCAGTATTTACATATTTTTCAGTTGTTTGTGGCACCTGGTAACAGAGTAAATGGTATATCATGAGGAATTGGACTCGCTTTCTGAAATATGACCTAAGGCTCTCCCACCAATGAAAAAGTTTTCCCCACATTCAGCCAGCTGCCTTTGTTGTCTGACATTCTGCCATAAGAGAGTATCTTTCTTTTTAGGTTAAGATATTAACTAGTTAAGATTAAAAATCATAAAGGATATTAGCTGTCATCCCCAAGTTAAGACTCTACCCTAAACCTAAAAATTTTGTGTGCTCATATCCATGTTTCTGTAGAAATATGTATGTTTGTGAAGACCCTAGTTTAAATGTTGGATTTAGAACACTAATGGAACAAAAACAGTACATTCTTGCCAAGGGTTATCCATTAATAACTCACATCCACAATCTTAACTTCATTCCTGTTAAGTTTAGGGGTCAGATCTAAACATTAAAAGTAGCTTTTTAAATCCCCTAGGGACCTAACCAGGGAAGACTAGTACCGCGGTTAAGTGTTGGTGCTGTTAGTAGCAGACCTTCCACTCCTACTGTAGGTAAGTGAGAGAAGGAAATGCCTTTTCTGTCTGGTGAAGTGCCTCAGCACTTGGTCTTGAACTATAATCCAAGTCAAAAGCTGAGTCAGAAATTCCCAAATGTGTGTTGACATTGATACATTTACTCGTCCTCTAGTAAAACTATAAATATGTATTTTTATCAGATTTCAAAATGAGAAAGCCATGAGTATCTTATCCCAAATGAGTACAGAATTAGACATTACCCAGCATTGTTGTTGGTATAAACTAGGTACCAAAAACCATTCAAGCTGTGTTTTTTTCTGCCTTCTATACAAATCAAGTTTCCAAACACTCATGGCAATAGCCTGCTTGTTATGAGAAATTAATTTGAGTAAGCTGGCAAGAGAATGCAACCGAAAAAAAGAAGTTTAAAATGTACAAAAAGTTTAAGTATTTCAAAGAAAAAAATCATTGTTTTTAATACTAATTTTTTCAAAAGATTAACTCTATTGCCCCTTCAAGCTGTCTCCTGTGCCCTTTGTGACAGGTCTCTATCATTCTTTTGAGTGTATCTTGTTTCCTGGCACAAGATGCTCTAAACTCCCCTTAATTTTCCTTACCCCAGCCCTACCAGCCACTTCTCCTAAGAGCCCTGGTTTCTTTTAAAGAAGAATGGTATTTAGAAACCATTACGGGTTTTTTTTAATGTTATTGTTTAGGGAATACGGAAAACAAAATGGATTTAGATTTCCTGACGTTTTTGGTCCTATTATTCCTGCCAGATTTCTTTCATAATCAAAGTATTTTCAGAAAGAATCCTTCTCTTTGACATGTTTTGTTTTGGGTTTTTTTTTGTTTTGTTTTTTTTTGGCTCTTTTGGCTTACAACTTGAGTCCTACAAATGTCATATAGCTCTAATGTAAGCAGCATTTGATTTTTTGCAGTGTGTAGAAAATCTCTTCATATTCTCATGTCAACATTCTAAAACCAACCTGGTATAGTATTAGTTGTACACTTCTAATTTACCCGCATGTTATCTTTGTGGACAGAAATTTGCATATATAATTTGTGTGACTTTGGTCATATACTGTTTATCTGCAGACTCATACTACTTCAGCAAATACCAGTTTTTTAAAAAACTCTAGGCTGTGGTAAACCATTACACATGTTGACAAGTAAACCAATTTTAGTTGTCAGTTGTGATTTTTATCCGTTAGACATTTACTATGCGTATTTTAGAGATTTTTTTTTAAATCTATAATGAGGGAGCTGCTGAAATCTAGAATTAAAGATAGTAGTTTTAAACTTAAAAAATGAATTTTATAAAGCATTCGAGATCTGAGCATCTGCTGTGTTCAATTTTAAAGATGAAAGTCCATACTTACTTAAATGTCAACAAATCCTTGCAGTAATGGCCAAGAAAACATCTACCTATTGTGAATTCCCTTGACAAAATAAAATACAGAGTATTGTTTCACTAACCTTGACCGAATTCTTTAAACTCACCCTTAATGCATCAGAAGTGCCTAGGAATCAAGATATGTTAGAGTAAGGCCTCACCTCCTGAGCTGGGGAGAGAAAGCACTAAAGCCAGATTCCTGGGTACTTGTGAGCTTTCTTCCCCCATTTAGGCTTTCTCTGTCCCTAGGAAGGATAGTTGTACTTTTTTTCGGCAGATCTTCTCTGGGCAGACTGCTGGTTCCAGGGGAAAGGGATGTATGAAAAGCCTGTATCCCCAAAGGAAAAACTAGAACAGATATGTTTCCATAAATGCATTTTTTAAGAGAGCTATGATGTCTGTGTATGTCTTTGAGTCTTGCAGAATTCATTCATTAAGCAGAAATTTGTTGTGTGCCTATTAGGAGTTAAGGAACAAAAACCATATGCTCATATGGATAAAAAAGTGTCAGCCAAGGCTTGTAATTTAGTGAACAGGGTAAGATACTGATAAAGGCTTCTATGACAAGGGAATTTCAGAGGCAGGCAATGACTTCTGAGCAAATCAAGGGAATTATATAAAATATGGTGGTATGAGTTCTACCTGGAATAATGGGTAGAATTAAGATGGGGGAGTGGACTAAATTATCTCCAACATCCCTTTTGCTTAAAAAAATACTTGGTACCCACATGGGTACCATAAGTGGGTATATTTTGATAGGCTTTTGTTAGATATATGTTGATTTAGCTTCACAAGCCTAGTAGACATCTTCTAATTCTCATAAAAGAGATTAAAAGTGCCATTTAACATAATGAATACCAAACTTGGGTCTTTATTCTGCTAGCTTAGACACTTAATTTCACAACTTCATACAGCTAAAATTCAGTGTCAGATGCTGTTTGAAGAGCTTTACAGAAATTTTAATTTTCACAACAATCCAAGTAACAGGTACTGTTATCCCATTTAACAGGTGAGAAAACTTAAGTACTAAAAGATTAAGTAACTTTCCCAAAGACATCCAGCTAGTAGGCGATAAAGCCCAGATTCAAACTCAAGTAGGTAGGCTCCAGAGCCTACATTCTTTACCACTATACTATCCTGAACTTTTAGCATCTAATTTATTGAGCTTGTACTTTGCTTATTTTGGATGTTTTTTTTCTCACCTTTCATCAGTTCCCTGTACTTTGAAGGTAGTTTCTAATAAGCTAAGAAGTGCAGAATATAAACTCATATAATGGAAGTCATGTAACTAACATGGTCTGTTAATTACAACCACAGCAACCCCGCAAACAGCGTCTGTCCCAAATAAAGCTGTACCTCCAGTGTCAGTGACAAGCCAAAGATACACAGTGCAGATTCCACCCTCTCAGTCCACACCTGTCAAATCAGGTAACATGATGGGCATGGCATGGGGGGATTTGAAAGTGGTTCTTTTTTAAGTTTTTTTTTAATTTTAAAATTTGAGAGTAACTTGTGATTATAGAACAGTTTGTATTCCTACAGCAAGAGTTGTTTTAATTGCATCCCAGAAGATGGCAATCATGTTCCACATCAGGGTTCTTCAAAAGGGTCAATGAGCCCACTACTAAAATTGTATGAAATTTTACATATATGTAATGTTTTGGGAGGGGAACAGTATTCAGTATGACCATCACATTCTCAAAGAACACTGAATTAAAATAAGCTGGGGTCCACAAATCTAAAGCATCTGCAAGGAAAAGCACTTAAGGTTAAAGCTCAAGAAAATAACAGTGTACACCAGACAAAAATTATACCTTTACTCACTTCATGGAAGGAGTAAAGTTGGAATTATAAGTAGAACTGTTATAGCATAGTTTATTACTGCATGTATTTCATTTTACATCTTGTAACACCTAATTGTACATAGTAAACTACTTACCTAAAATATTGGCATATTAAGGGAAATGTGATTCCTGACCCTGAACATGTGCCTTTAGTATGTTCCATGGTTGAGTCCCATGCACCGCTTCCCATGGCTAAGTACTAACTAAAATTTTAGGTAGTTTAAAAAAAATAATGTGTCTAGATACTATTTTAAGTACTTTAAAGTACTAAAAAAACTTTATTCAACTTTTAATGCAGCATAAATACCCAAGTTTCTATGATGTGGTTGCAATTCATGCTATTAAAATTGTTTATCAGAATTATAGTTAGCCTTGTTGAATATTATTTACCATGTTTCTGATTTTGGGTGATTCAGTTTGAGAGTGTTTTCTCCTGTTTACAGTTCCTGCAACAACTGCAGTTCAGAATGTTCTGATTAATCCTTCAATAATTGGGCCCAAAAATATTCTTATTACCAACATGGTTTCATCACAGAACATGCCCAATGAATCAAACCCACTGAAGAGAAAACATGAAGATGATGATGATAATGATACTATGTAGGGAGTACAATCAAGATATATTTCAGGGGGCGCCTGGGTGGCTCAGTGGGTTAAGCCTCTGCCTTCAGCTCAGGTCATGATCTCAGGTCCTGAGATTGAGCCCCGCATCAGACCCTCTGCTCGGCGGGGAGCCTGCTCCCCCTCTCTCCCCTCCCCTCTGCCTACTTGTGATCTCTCTCTGTCAAATAAATAAATAAAATCTTAAAAAAAAAAAGATATATTTCAGAAGTGTAATTGGTTTGGAGCCCACTGTACTGAACTAGAATATTCTCTGTCTTCTCAAGTTTTATCTTAGAAAACTTAAATGTAGATGTATTTTTCCTATTAGCTTAAACTGTTAATTTTTTTTAAATTGTTAGGTATCTTAGGTAACCATACCAATGTTTTCTCATTAGGATTCAAGTAAAAAAATTGTTTCTTAGTATTTTGATTAATATTATGATTGTTTTCAGTTTCTACAGCCTGATCAGTGGACTAGTCTTTTAACAGCATTAATTTCTAATACACATTTAAATACTACTTTCTCCTATAGGGTAAAATAGTCATAATTTTTGTTTTCACCAACTTTTTTGACCAAACCTCTAAATTTAGGAAGTATTTTTTTGGAAAGGATGGATTTTGAAGGGGTTCTGTATTCATTTGGAATATTTGTTTCTTGGTGTTCCCTAACCTCCCATGTCCTCAACCCCATTTCTAGATCCCATTCATTTTCTGTACCACCTCTTCCCCAGAGGCTTAAAGTTTCTCCCAATACTCTCAGAAGGCTAAAACCAGAGTTTTAAAAGTGTAACTCCAGATAGTACAGTTATACAGTTCAGTGTCATTTTCCTGTTTTTAAAACCTGCTTTACATGCCTTTGCTGTTTTTCTCTTTATACCAGAGGAGTTGAGTTTTATCCATTGCCTTTTATGCTGAGCTTTACTCTGCCTTTAACACGTAGTTTGGGGTCAGTTACAGTTTATCTTATATTCCAAGTCTGTAATTCTATTTCACGTTTCTAAAGTTAACATTTCTAAATTTAGCAAAGATGATGCTATAGCTTAAAATCTGCCTTGATAAGTATAATTACACTGGATCTAGGCAAAAACCACTGAAGAGCAAGTTTTTTTCTTCCATTCTACCACATACGTATATGCTACGATCACTACTGCTTGAACCCTTCTACTGGTATAATTCATTTTTCTAGCTTGTTGCTGAGGATATCATATATGAGATGGGAACAGATCTGAAAGTCCTGTAATGGTTTTCCTTCCTCTAGAAGGCCAACAACAAAAACAAGTCAATATAATGTGACCTGCACTTAGGTGTACTATGCGTAGTTTCCCAGTAATGTTGCTAAATACCTTTCCCTATTTTCCATGTGTACACATATAAACATCTTAGTGGGAAAGACTGCAAAGCTTTCAAAAAAATAAACAGGCTTTTTGTTTTTAAGTAAGTTTGACATTCAATATAGGAAATTACTTTTGCAGAATTTTCTAAAAAATTTTTCATATCATATCGTAATTTAGAACTTACAGCCAAGGATCCTCAAAACTTAAAACACAAGAACGTTTCATGCTGGAATGGTGCTTGACACATTGAAAGAGTACAGTGACAGAAAACACAAGTCTCATCACAGTTTGAGTTTTTTGGATAGTAGGAAAAAGGTGTTATCAAACTTACAAAAATGGATCTGATCATCATAGGAGAAAAATGTTCATTATATAGTGTAGGGTATCATTACTTGAATGTTCTCAGGGAAGCAGCATGTCAAAAAGCCTAGGTTCTACTCCTGGCTCCATCATTTACCAACTATGTGACCTTACTTCACCTCTGAGCCTCGTTCTCAGTAATAGGGAAATAACACTGACCTTGCCTACCTCACAGGGATGTTGTGAGGGTTTAATTGGTGTATGTGAAAATTCCCTTCAGAACTGTAAAATGGTTTGTAACTCTAATAAATTGTTAATGTATTTGTCCCAAGATTATTAATAAAACGTTGAACTTACCATTTATCTTTCAGTTTTGATTTAAGGGATTCAAGGAAAATGAGTAAGATCCAGTAATTCTGAGGTGCCAAAAGCCATTAAGATTTAATGGGTGACTTAAATCATAAATCAGGGAATTGCCTGCCTTTATTTGGAAGCAGCATGTGACTCACAGTAAAGCAAAGTAAAAGGAGTATGGGTTAAGTCTGTGAAAAACATTACATGCTGTCTTTGCTAAGAACCTGTACATGTAACTGAGGCACTTGCTAGGTCAGCCAGTTTTCAAACGAAGACTGCTTTATCTTGCAGAACTCCCTTCCCTAGTTATGTCTACCTAAAATAGCTTCTAGAATGACTCAAGGCCATTCTTGTCCTCCAGCTTCCAGGTGGAATTTTTTTAAAGAGGTCCTGATGGTAAATGTGGGAAGAACATTGTGGTCCCAAGTTCTTACTTTTACAAGTAGGAAACAAGTGTTTTACCTGATTATGAATATAGGAATACAGCCAGTATGTTGGGAAAAGAGAAAACATAATGGACACTGATCCTAAGGAGTCCAGAGTAAAGGGAGTACTCAAGAGTTAGGAAAGACAACACTAATCAGAACAGCAGGTACAAAGCAGTGTATAATATACTGCCATATATATTTTAATTCATATGTATATACATACATGGAAATGTTTTTATATGCATTATGGAGCCCTAGACTGACGGAAACCAGTCTTACAGTGGCGGTTTCTAAAGAGGGAAACTGGTAGCTAGAGGACTGAGGTAGGAGAAAGGTGTCTTCTCATTTTATACCCCTTTCTGACATTTGTATCATGTGCTAGAGGGAAGTTTTGGACGTAAAAAGGAAAACAAGGGAAACAGGGAACACTGAGCTTAACAGACTGAATTAGTCATGACAGAAAGACTGTAATTTCTCTGTACAGTCATACACATCTATTATCTGGAGGTTAAAACTGAATTTGCTACACTTGTACCTGCCTAAGTCTCTGCAGTCTTTTATCAATAATTCTTAATTCTGTATTAAATCAGGAAGCACATCCTTGTACTATTCTAGTTCATGTACTCACAAGTTGTTATAGGTTATCTTTGTCAACTAGGTTGTAAAGGTTGTAAATTCCTTCAGGACATAAATGCTTTCTTAGATTTCCCCCATTATGTCCTAAGCATATCACAGGTATTCAAATGTTGTGCTTCCCCATTTATTTTCTCAATTAATAACCCAAATAAATGGGGAATGATCCTAGAAGCAGGGTCTAGGAGAAAGTACTTAAAAGGTACAATCAGAGATGGATGGATGACTTGGCAGGTTTATGGTATTTATACAATTCTTTTAATCCCTCTGTACACATGAAATAATAAAATATTGGGGGAAAGCTGATCAGTAGGGGAAGAAAGTTGATCATTAGTATGCTAGAGTTCTAGCCAGGCTGCGACATTAATTTGCCGGATCTATGGGTAGCACCTCTGGGCCTCCTCTGAAAAGAACAGACTAGAATTTCTGCTTCTCATACCAGGGTACAGTGTACCATTAGGGGTATGCAGAAACATGGTACGTTTTAAAATTATCTATAATTATGGGTATAGTATTAATTAAAATCCAAATGAATTTTTTTAAAAAATTCAAGCCTTCAGAATGGTTTTGTTTAAAGCAACCACCAGAAATTTCTTCTGCTCTTCTTTCTGGAGTTAATCAAATAATCCTAGGCTAGAAGGATCAATTTTGTGGGAGGCAGGCACAATGAAAAAGCAGCCTGGAATCAGACACACTTGGACTACTTGAATCCCTGCTGTGGCCTTTGTAGCTCTGTGATCCTCCAAGAAGTTATTTCTCTTCAAAAAGGTGAAATAACATCTAGTATGTAAAATGTCCAGCAGAGAAATTCTGATTAAACGTGGCCTTTTGAAATCCCATGTTTACCTTTGCTCACTCCCAAAACTCCATTAAAATGGCAGGGAAGAGAAAAGAAGGGAAAGTTACAAGGACAATAATAAATCAATCAGAAGGACATCAGAATCACTTCACAGGAGGTAAAAGGAATCCCCTACAGGGTTATCCCAAAGCAGTTTCTTCCGAAAGAGGAAATCCCAGAATAGCTCTACAGCAAACCTGGAAGGCAGTCAGGGAAAACTGGAGTGAAGCATGAGGACTCCAGGAGGGGATTATCTCTAATAAAGATGAACAGATTTATCTCAGAAGTTTGAACACACTGGGAACAAATTGGTGTAAGTACATAGGAAAAAAAAAAAAAACCTTTCAAAACTAACTCCAAAGAAAACTTAAAAAGGTACATAATGGAATCATAGCATACAACATAGCTCAGCTGTGAATAGTATTCATAATCACAATACAGACTACTCACCTAATCTTTAACAGAACTATACTGGGAAAAATGAAGAAGGAAAGTAAATGTGGAACAGAGGCCAGAAGAGAGCTCAATCTTTCCATGTAGGAAACTGATATATAGCTTTTTATAAAAATCAAGAAATTGAAAGTGTAAGTATGTGACTTAGAAACATGGAGGGTAAATGCCCAAAAAAAACCTAAGAGGTAAAAATCTCTGGGGAATGGGAAAATGTGAGGAAGAGGCTGAAGCCTCTATTTTGTTGTTGTAAGCCTTAACTGTTTTATTTTCAACTGTGGTCATGTGTTTTTAACAGATAAAAATGAAACTTAAAGCACCTGTCACATTATCTGTCATAAAGTATGCCCTCAATAAAAGAGTAGACATTTATCTAATCTCCCCTACCTCCCCTACCAATGCTGCCCCATTTCTTGCATTCAGAATGTAGCTGATTCGATCCCTTCCATAGAGTCTGTCCTCACCCTAACCAGTATGACAGGAAAATAAAATCCCAGTTTCAATGGATACTTTTATTTATTTCATAGTTCACCAACTTTGCCTCCCTACCTACCTATAATTGGAATTTCATCTTATTTCCATGCTGAGAAGCGAAACAATGACAAAGCTAGTCAGAATAAGCTACTTCAAAAAGAGAAGCTAACACAGCTCATTTTCTTTTAACAGGCAAAATATAAATATATGCACTCTAGAATGCATAATGGTTTAGTTGCTAGGAAATTCAAAGG